GACCCTGAGTCTGATCTTAATTCTCATTCCCAGAAAAATCTCAGCTCTGGGCTCACCCACCCTCTGTTTACTGTCTTTGTGTTTCCTAGACAAAGCTGGAAGGAGCACATTTTCCTGACATCAAAGGCAACATTTCTTTGTTTTGGGGAGGAGGGACAGGACAAGGGAGTCACTGAATCCCTAGCCTGTGGGAAAGCCAGGTCCAGGCCAGGAAGGAGCCGGAGCCCCGGCCCCCATTGGGGACCTGGGAGATCTGCAGAGTGTCAAAAGCCTGTTTTTGTCAGACCTGAATGCTAGGGATACTCTTGTCCGCCCCCCCTTCTCTCTGTGTGTGTCTGTCTGTCCATGTAGGGTGATTTGAGACTCTGTAATGCCAGTAAAAAGTTGGTAGCAGGGCTGGTGGGGACCAGACCATGGCATCCACCCTCTAGCATCCTGTGCTTCCATCGTCTGCCTTCCCTCATACTGTCCACTGTATGACTTTGGAGCTGGCTACTTAGGGAAGGTAACAGCAGTGTCCACACTTTTCCCTGGATCCACACCGATGCATGCATGCCTTTGGAGAGCGAGCCTTTGCCGGATGCTTGCCTTGGATTGCCTGGCCTGTCACACTGAGCCAGCTCTTTCCCTCAGGAGCTACAGAGCTGAGACACACCCCATCTGTGTCTGCTCGGATCTTCCTGCCTTGAACAGGCATTTTCCAGGAGATGGGCCACCTTTGCCCACCCAGAGAGATCAGTTTAGCCCCAGTCACACCCATGCATAGCAGCTCTTCTTGGACACCTCTGTAATCCTTAGCTCAAATGGCTATGTGCATTTTGGTGAAAAAAATCTGTCTATAAATTCTAAGCTATGTGTCAACAAAGTTCTTTTTGTCTTATTCAGACTATAACCTCATGGTATCAGACTCAGGGCCTGGCACCTACTAGATGCTCAATAAAATATCTGGTGAATGAATGAAGCACTGAGTAAGCATTTAAACATTTGCCTTTTCCTCCTGTATTTCAGTTGACAGGGCATTTTTTGTTAACGAACCAAGATTTTCTTGGCTACAGTGAGATAATGGGAATTAAGCAGATCAGGGTTGAAGTTTGCTGAGGCCAGAAGGGCCAGGCTAGGGGGTGTCTTTTTCTACCTTGTAGGGAAGAAGAGAGTCATTGTGAAGCATTATATATTCAGGATTTAGATTCCTAGGAGCCATAAGAAGCAGAGATTCATTCTTTTAAAGAGATTTGGAGAGGGTCCAAGTTTTGGGACGGGCCTTTGCGGGTGACTTGGGGGCTACCTGGCTCTGTTGGCCAAAGATAATGCTTGATACAAAAAGGAAAGGAAAAGAAAGGGAGGAGAGGGGAGGGAAAGGAAGGGAAGGAAAGGGAAGGGGAGGAAGGAGAGGAAAGGAAAAGAAAAAAAAGGAAGAAAAGACAAGACAGTAAGCCATCTTTGTTCAGAGTTAACATTTGCACCTATGATTTTAATGGAAGAGCAATTCAGAGACATCAAATGAAAGCAAAGACCAATGACACCCCTGGGTCTGGAGCCGAGGAGGATGTTTGAGCCTAGAAGTTCACACCCCTTTGTGGGGCGTATGATCCTGACTCTCCTTGCGTACAGAATAAGTAAGCGGATGCTTAGACCAAACCTAAACTAAAGCAAGCATGGAGCCTGCAAACTTGAACATGAAACTCAAGCAAGCATTTCAGTGAACCAAGGCGCTATGCATTAGCGTGTTTTCCGTTTCTGTGACAAAACTACTTGAGGATGAGTATTTCACAGAGTGGAAAACTTTACTTGGTTCAGCTTTGGAGCCTGAACTGTAGTAAGATCAGGCAACGCTATCTGTTGGGGCTCTGGCGAGGGCACGTCTCCTGTGTCTGAATGTGGCAGGGAGAATGTGTATGAGGAGTGTGGGTACGAGGGACGCAGAACCCAGCCTTTGTCTTCTTGTCACAACTTGCTGCTGCAGGCGCTGACTGGATTCTGAGCCTTTGGGGAGCATGCTTAAGCTCCACCCACCGCACAGTGTAAATTCAACTGAATGTTTGACCCTGTGATGGATGGGATGAAGATACACTGCCCCCATCATCCAGAGATTTAAACTAGGCTGGAGAGCTGGATATTTCCATGAGGTTTTCAGAAAACAACAACAACAAAAAACCCTCAGTTTTTAAAATGAGAAACACGAGCCAACTCTGAGGCAGCCACTGCTACATTTCTCCTTGTCCCCTGCCGTGGGTCTGTTTCTGTTGGTGAGGATGTGCCACCCAGGTTTTGAAAATATGGGGCATCTTAGGGAGGATGAAACTGATCCCATGATCTTTTGGGGTTCAACTGAAGATGGGCTGCAAAAGCTTCTCACATAACCAAAACATTTCTTGTATTCCATTTTCATTTTCTTCATTTGATTTTTCACTATTTATAATCGACAAGTTAAAAAGCCATTTATCTTCATGATGTTTTGACACATATATACATTGAAAAATGCCTGAATCAAGTAACTCAACGTACATGTTATTCCACATACTTAGTTTTTTGGTTAAAAATATTTAAATCAAAATTTCAAAATTACCACATATGATAGCCCCAATATGAACTATAGATACCCCAAACTTATTCCTCCTGTTTAAACAAAATGATCCTCTGTGGCCCAGCATCCCCAAGCCTTCCTGCCCTGAACCCATCGGTCCCCAGCAGCCATCATTCTCTCTCTGATTCTGTGACTCCACATTTAGGGAGAGTTGGGCAGCATTTGTTATACTGTGCCTGGCTTCATCTACCTAGTTTCACCTACACTGTAATAAATGACAGATTTTCTTCTCAAGGCTGAAGAGTGTCCCATTGTGTGTGTGTGTGTGTGTGTGTGTGTGTGTGTGTGTGTGTGTGTGTAAAATAATATTTCTCATATTTCCTTTATCGTTCATAAGCTGCTAGGCACCTTGAGTAAGTCTGTATCTTGGCTATGTAGTCAAGCTTTTATGCTGGGTAGGGAAGAGTCTTGGTGCAGCCTAGCCATTGTTCCAGGATTCTCTAGCTATGCTACTTAAAAAAATATCAGTCTCCCACTCCAACTCCAAGGGCTAAAAAGAGGGCTCAGCACTTATGAGGTTTGGACTCTCCCCTAGAGAACCCAGGTTTGATTCCCAGCACCCACATGGCTGCTCACCACTGTCAGTCCCAGCGGATCTGACACTCTCTTCTAGTCCCCTTGGGCACTACATGCTCATGGTACACACACATATATGCAGGCAAAACACCCATACATTTAAAAATAAAGTACACATGAAGAAAAAAAATGTGCCCCCCCCCAACTGATGTGAGGTTCTACCTCCTCCAGACATGGTGTTCTCTGGGAAGAGAAGCCAGCAAGAAGTCCCCAAGAGTAATCCTGACTTTCAGCTAGGCTAGCTCTCCTCACTGACCAGCCCTCCATTTTCTCTGGCACTAAGGCCTTTGACCAGCTTCCCGGAGGGACAGTGAGCACCATAGGGGCTAACCTTTCTTTACCAGACCAGCTGCTAGCTAACGCTCTGCCGTCTCTCACGGCTCACTCTCCCTCCCAGTAGCACTGCTCAGACAAGCAATCCCTTTTTCCCCTGTCTCTCGAGGGGCCAGGATTATCTGCCTTTGACAAGGAAAGAATAGACTGTGGCTACAGAATTTAGCTGCAAGTCAGGGCTCATACTCTTGGCCAAGGCCATGGATCCTCTCAGAGCCTTGGAGGTGAAGTGCAGCTTGCCACCACGTCTCCTTCTCCTAGATGCCACCCTTAGGCCTGGCATATATGCTGTGCGCTCCATGATCCACCTTCCAGGTCAAGATGAAGGTCCTAATGTGCACAAACTGATTCAATTATATTGTTGTTTCCAGGTGTGTGTGTGTGTGTGTGTGTGTGTGTGTGTGTGTGTGTGTGTGCGCGCGCTCACAAGCATTTGCATGTGCATATCATGCTGTGTAGACATATAGAGAGGCCATCGGAGAATGTTAAGTATCCTGTCCTATTAGTCTCCATTTTCTTGCGGCCATGTCTCACTGATCTTGAAACTAGGCTGGCAGCCAGCAAGCCCCAGAGATCCAGCCCTCCTCTCTCTGGCCCCTACTGCACTGGGAGCGTGGGTGCACACACAGCTATGCCCAGCTTTTTGCATGGATGCTGGGAGTTCAAACTCAGGGTCTCATGTTCACACAGTAACAGCTCTTACCCACTGAGCCATCTCCTCAGACTCTCTGGGCTATTTTTTTTTTTCTGAGTTGGACTTTTTATTTAGAGACACTTGTAGACTCCCAGAAAGTTGTTAAAGAATGTAGAGATAGGCCGTTTACCCAACTCTCCCATGGTGGCATCTTGCCAAATTGTAGTAGAGTATTAGACTTGTGGTAATGTTGCAGCAACCCTCTCCTGGTTTTATTCAGGTTTACCAGTTGTACTTGCACTCGTGTGTGGCGTGCACTTCATTCCTCACAGCTATCTCACTTGTATACATGTGTCAAGATATGGAACCACCCATCACCACGGCTTATTAGTAACAATCAATTTCCCCCATTCCCAACCATTGGCCATCATTAATCTGTTCTCCATTTCTCTAATTCATCCTTTTTAAGAATGTTCTCTAAATGGAATCAAGCGACACAATTGAGGACCAACTTTTTCATCATACCTCCCCAGTTTTGGGAATATAGCACTAGTTCGTACTGCTGTTACTGTAGCTTTAACTATCGCACACCCCAGCACGACACCCAGGCCCAATTACAGATCCTCTGAGATATGAACCTCAGCAATGTCTTGCATGACAAGAGAAAATGCCGTTTTTTGTTTGTTCTTTATTCACGTTTCTTCTTGGTTCACGTGTGTTGTAGGAGAGGTGGGACAAATTGCAGTTTTCCTAGCTCTGTTCAGACATACCTTCGTTCCTTTGTCCACCCACCCCAGGTCAGCTGGCTTGCTGTTTCCTTTAGCTCCCACTGAGAGTTCTTTCTTGTGTCTCCCTCCTCCCCTCCTTCCCCAGGAGCACATCTACAAGCTGATGAAGAGCGACAGCTATGCCCGCTTCCTGCGATCCAACGCTTACCAGGATCTGTTGCTGGCCAAGAAGAAGGTATCTTGGGAAGGGCAAGCTTGCCTTTCTTAGCACTGTTGACTCTCGCTGCTGCTTGCTGCTGGTGTGAAATGAGAATCTCATTCCTTGGGTTTTATTTCTTTCTTTTCTTTTCTTCTCTCCCCTCCTCTGTCTGCTCCCCTCCAGTCAAAAACAGGGAGGAAGGGTGACAGTTCCAGCTTCCCCTGATATTAAGGATATGGCATTCTGCCTCAGTGTTCCCATTGCCTCTGTCTGCCTGTTTTACCTACAGAGAGAGGAGTGTGATCAAACAGCATTGCCACAGAGTCTCAGGTTGGCAGTGACCCAAGCAAATCTCTTAGGAAAGGGTATCTGAGAGACTTCCTCTGCCATTTCCATCCAGTCATTCCCAACGGTCCCACCCTCTTCCACCAGACTAGAAAGGGAACGTATGAAGTGAGGACTGGGGTAGCCCCCTCCTGGGAAAGAAAGCCATGCTCGTTTTGAGGGGCTCTACCAGATATCTGAATAATCAACGAGACTGGGCATTGGCTCCTCCTTACCATGCTTTCTTCTGAAGTTTTTCCCAGTCCTTTCAAACAGGTAGTAACCACATTTCAATCAATCCCTCCTCTTCCACTTGGAATTAAATCATGGACCTTATAGGCCTTGGAGTCTTAGCTCACAGAGCTCCAAGACCCTCTGCATGCAGGTAGTGAGGGTGCCTGGAACCGGGACACATTAAGCTCGATTTTCAGGGGAAGGAATGCAGAACAGTACGTAGGGCTCAGAAAGGGCGGGACAAGAGACAGGGCTTGCGAGTCTGAAAACCTGCCAGTCCTCTGTCCACCTCAGCTCCAACCCGAAGCCCATGTGTGGTTACGTGTGGCTCAGTACCACTTCATTCTCACCACGCAGACACACTGACACACAAGAACACACACATACATGCAGAGAGAAGGACGCACACAAACACACAGACACAGACACACACACACGTATAAACACATTTCTTCTTCCCACCTCATCTCTGAACCCTATCCCCAAGCATGTAGTTACCCATGCACAGGTTTTCTTTCTGTAAGGTTGCCTCTCAGCCTCACACCCTTCTCTGTGTTTTGGCAACTGTATGTCGTGTTTGCCTGTCTGCCTATCTGGTTGGTACCATGTAACTCCAGAGTCCTGAGGAGCATTTACTTCCACCTTGCTGTTCTTACACGACCCTCAGAAGAGCCCGAGGATTCTGAAAGAGATGAAAGGACTTTCAGAAGGACTATTGTCAAAACTTCAGCTCTGTTGGTTCCCAAGCCCCTCCTCTGAACAGAGCCACTGGGGTGGAGAGTGAGAAACCTAACCTTTTTGCCAACTCCCTTGTTGGAGGATGGGTTCTGGTAGAGGAGGCCTGAGGCTCCCATACACAGTGGCTCTGGTACCGACTTTTTTCAGGCAATGAAAGAAAGATCAAGGTTATAGAGACTTGGGATACGTATGCCTCACATCTCACAGGAGAAAGTCAAAAGTTTTATTTCTTGAGGCTCAAGACCCCTAAATTGACCCTATTTGGGGGACGTTTAAGGCTCTAGCCATTTCACCAATTTATGCCTAGCTGTGTAAACTTCTGGGTCAGAGGCCTTTAGTCTCCCCTTGGGTGTGAACACAAAGAGAAGGCTCACCTCAATCCAAGAAGTGGGCTGAACTGGGTGGGTTTGCAGATCCTCTCAACACGGCAGACTTCAGGAAGTCAATGGAGTGGGAAAAGAATTAACCCCTTCTGGGAAGTTCATTACAGTTATTCTCAAGCCCTCAAATTAAGGGATGCTTGTATGGCAGAGAGCCAGGGCACCTGCTGGTCTCTTCCCAAGATGAAGAAGTCATTTCCCCAGACAGTGGTACTCTCCCAACCATGTCTTCCTGAGGGTCTCCGGGTGTCAGATTTGTTACTCAGCATCTTCGGGAAGGCCCAGAGCACCTTCTGATTCCAGTGGTGCTCATCAACACCCAGGTTATTAAAGGGTTGTGAGGTTCCCACCCTCCAGCTGCCAGGGCAAAGAATAGGCCTCCCGCTTCAGATGAGCCGTACCGGAGAGAGTCTAGAAGCACAGACTTCAGGTTTGTCTCCCCCGGTTCTTCCTCTTTTCTGCTATCTTCAGAGGAGAGGGTAGTTGCTCTGGAGATTCTAAGGGTGGCTGAACTGGGTTTTGATGAACCATGAAGTAGCAATGATGATGGAATCCCACCAAGAGCTCAAGGGAAATAAGAATGACAGGTCCATTCTGGACCCAGAATGGGCCTGACTTGACTAAGTATCTACTGTCTGGTACCTTTGGGTGAGAGCTGAGCTTTGCCATCTCCACAACAGAGTCTGGGTATGAGCCAGGCATGGATCCTACAGGTCCTACATGAGAAGAAAGTCCAGCCCAACCTTATGGTCATGTATCATTTGTCTTGTGTTTTCCTTCTGCAACTTCATATCTATCTTTCCGGAGCTGGCTGAGTCAGCAGGGGGCATGGGTGGATGCCAAGGACGGTTGCCTTTGCCAGACCCCTCTGCTTCTAGCACATTTCAGACCCGCAGACACCTCGCTGCTTCTCCAACTCCCAAGTTGCAAGTATCTGCTCCATGTGTATGTGTGTGTGCGTGTGAGTGAGTGTGTGTGTCCATGCAACTTCGTATATCCTACAGGCTAATTTGCCAGCCTCGGGCTCATGACCTGAAACAGAGCTCTAAGTTAAGCTAGCAGCTATTTGGGATAGAATTCTGTTCTTTCCAGGTAGGAGACTTGGGGAAGGGGCCAGGCATGCACCACACCTCTTTTCCAGGCATTTGCCTTCTGTTGCATTTGCTCCTTAAACCTGAGCTAACAGTTCCCCAGGGAGGATCCTGGGCCTCCTGGAACGCTTAGGAGCGTCACTGCTTGGGAACTGAGAGAATACTTTCTGCTCAGAGCATGGTTTGTCATTTCCTGTGGCCTCGGAGCTTTTGTCATCGCAAAGTACTTGAGTCGACTCTCCTTGCTCTCAGGACACAGAAAATCATTAGGAAGTCATTGAAGTTAGCAAATGTTCCTCTAGGCAAAAAAAAAAAAAAAAAAAAAAAAAAAAAAAAAAAAAAATTCCTGGCTGACCCACACCCAACAGATGAATTCAGGACTTCACCTCCCCAGTGGCCACTTCCGGACATCCAGTTAGTATCTGCCACCACACACGGACAGCCCTCAGAGCTCAACCGTTTTGTGTCTCCACTTGGAGTTCCACACAGCCGCCCAGGGGGCTGCTGGTGCCACAAGCACCCAAGGCTCCTGCTTCAGAGCACAGCTGAGAGAGGGTGCTAGCAAGCAGGAAGAGCCCTCCAGGAAGCAAAGACTGTGCAGTACCACCCATGGCCCTTCAGGAAGCCCATTCCCCCCCCCCCCCCCCCCCCCCCCCCCCGCCCCCCGGTCCCCCCCCCCCCCCCCCCCCCCCGTTCACTCCCCTGGGCTCCTGCTTTCCCACTCTCCATCGGCTCTGCCAACAGCTCTGGCTGCTTCTCTCTCCCCGTTTTGCAGCATTTGGCTTCTGTGTTTTGTTCTTTAGCTGTGGCTGCTGCTGTTTAGAAATCATGTGTAAGCTGAAGAATTTTTCCCCCTGTATTTTTCTCCCTATCGTTTTGTTGTTTTTTGTTTTTTGTTTTTTTTTTTCTCCCCCTAAAGCCAGAAAGTGAGCAAGGTCGTAGAACTTCCCTAGAAAAGTTCACTCGCAGTGTGGTAAGTTCAGCTGGTTTTTCTGCCCTCCACGTTTCTTTTGCTTTTGGTTCTTCAATTTTTTTTTTCTTCCTTTTTTGGTTGCCGTCTTCTTTGGGGTGGGAGGGAGTCCAGTGTTTCCCCCCTCCTCTCCAGTCACCCCTTTTCTTTTGCAAGTGTCTGCAGCTTCTCTTCCAGGGATGGACTTGCATTAGGAGCAAGCAGCCCCTTCTGCAGAAGGTTCACAGCTCCAGGCCCAGCCGTGAGCCCAGCCTCAGGTGGGATCCTGTGGCCTCTTTTCAAGGCTCCGAGGAGGAAGGGACCTTACTGCTCCTGGGGCTGGGCAATCTGTGTATCTTCTACAGCAGCCTGGAGAGAAGGCCATGAAACAAACCATGAACCAAATTGGCTAAGAATCATCACTCATGTCGAACAAAACAAAACAATATATATATATCCAAATTTCCCTCTGTGAACCCTCACAGGCGTGTTAGTGTGGGTCGTGAGCTGCTGTTGCTGCTGTGTAGACGGCTTTTGCTGTGTGCAGAAAGCAACCGTGCTGCATGGGTTGTGGCGATATGGTCTAGCTGGTGTGTATGTGTGTGTTAGTTAACGGCCTCTGCATGAGTACCTACAGCCCTTAGGGTCCCTTGTCAGCCTCATTTGCATAGTATGACCTAGAGAGGAAGATAGTTGCTGAGTTCCATAACTGTGACCAAAGCACTTCCCAGGGCCAAGGTTTTATCAATCCCCCCAGTCCCTGATTCTGACAGTGAGTAAAAAGAGGATACATGTTCACTGTCCCTTCCCGGAAATGGTCTTTCCCCATCACACCAGCTTAGAGAGGTAGGGGCTCACACGGTGACACAAAGGGAGGCCGGTGAGAGCAGTCCATGAGATCCCTGTGATCTACACCATGAGGTTCTATAGCATGATCTAGTAGAGCACAGGGAAGAACTATCTCCCCTTTCCATGGTGGTTTTTTTCTCCAAGCTAAGGCTTGATACACACAGACTGGTCTAGAAGGAACCACGGAATTCACGGGACCCTGCCCATACTGTTAATATCAAACCAGCAGCAACCAACATAATAGTTGGAGACCATCTGGAACTAGTCACCTTCCTCTTTCCAAAGAGTGGGGCCTACCGATGCTGCCTTGCCTTGTTTCCCCACCTCTGTTGAAGAGCAAAGCCCTTGTAGGACATGACTACTCTCTGATTAGTACCCCTTTAATCCTTTTTAAATAGTTTAAGAAACCCTGGAGTGAGAGCCACCTAGCCCTTTTCCTGTCATGGCCGGATGCATTTTAACAACATTCAAACATGATTGTGAATTCACCAAATGTGTACATCCCAGCACCACAGGGAGATGGCAATTAAAAGCTAGATGTTCCTCTCTCTCTTCATGGCTTTTCTCCCAAGAAAAACCGGAAAATGCAGACTGTGAGACCTGTTGGCCTCTTGTCCTTAGAGCTGGTTTGCCGTGGCCATGTGGTCATGTGGTCATGAAGGTGTCACACGTACTGTCAGAGTTCAGGCCCATGAGATCTCTTCTGACTCATGATTGTTCCACAGAGAGTGGGTGTCTTTCTGTATTGAGCTGAGGCCTGGCTGCTCTAGATGGAGAAGCTTTAAAGACTGAGTTGACAAGTTAAGAGCATGCTGTAGAGGCAACTGGGAATCTCAGGTGTCAATTGAGGGGAAAAAAACGAGAGCTTTCTTTGTGGGAAAGCTGAGCTCTGACAGCCCCGTGGATGCTCATCAGGTAGACTGTGGGGGCTGAGGTAGGAGAGAGGAATCCTGGTGCTTGGACAAGATGTGCAAATGTCTTCAGTTGTCCTTTCATGAGAAGTGGGTATCAGGATGGGCAAAGATGGTCTCAGTGAAGCTCGGGTAGGGGGCATTTATTGATGTCCCTTCACCTCAGAAGTGCTGTTGGCTCGGTCAATTGCTAAGGTCTGTTAACACCAGTAGAACAGGAAAGCTCCTGCCCCCCTGCACACATCTGCTGTGCCATATGAATCCACAGAGAAGCTGATGGAAAGCAGAAAAGTAGCCCAAGCTCCTGAGATTTAGGCATTTATGTGACCAAAGGCTCAAAGTTTTAAAAACAATTGCTTCATAAAGAGAAGGTTCTACTAGGTAGTACATTCAGGTCTCCTGGTTCCATGATGGCCATGGATCTCCATTGACCCTTCCATGCTCCTTGAGGGCTATAAGTAACACCCCAACACACAGATGGAGCTAAGTCTGGGAACATGGCCCATGGCTATAGAGACGTCATCTGTCTGATAAGGCTTCTCAAACTGATAAGGTGCCCAATATTTTGGTCTCAACATCCCAGTATTTTAGTCAAACATAACCAGCCAACCAATATGCCTTGCAATTTGGCATCTGTATTTGGAAGATGATAGACATTAAGTGTTCATCTTCTCCAAAAGCAGATTTACTTGTGTTTCCTCCGCCATCCACTTACCACTAACAAAGTGAAGGGATGGTTTAGTGTCATCCCCATATCACTGAGATCAATGAGCAGATGATCCCTGTTTACTACCGATAAAGGACTGGTAGGAGAAAGCAAGATGGTTCACCAGTAAAGGCATGGGGTTGGCTGCCATTTAGGATTGATCAGTGGGCAGTGGATTTTATCCAAGTGGCTGGCTAGCTTACTCGGATGGAGTCTTATCAAGACTGAATCCGAATCCAGAATTCTCCCCCAGAGCATGGCGATTTTCGTTTGCTCCTTGATGCAGAATTGAAAGTCTCATCACCTCTGGTCTCTCTTTGGTGTGCCTGTCCCCTTAGAGTTGACCGTAGACTGACAGCAGGCTGACAGAGGGGGCCAGAGGCTTCTGGGGAGGCAGAGCCAGTGAGAGGAATCAAAGAGGTCCTAGCCAAGGAGCAGCAGCAGCAGCGTCGTTTTCTCTTTTGGATGGCAGCTGAGGCCATCTGGTGTGAACTGTGAGCCAGGGAGGAGAAAGTCGCCTATCCCTTGTACATAGGAACAAGAAAGGCACTTCAAAGTACGATGGCATTTGAGAGAAATGGCAGTCCCAGTGTAGCTGGCAGCCACTCCCCTTTGCCTTCCCCAAAGCTCCAGCTACCCCTTGAGAGTTCCATCAGCTGTGGTTCTGGACTGCAAATTCAGAAAAACAGGTACCTGAGCAGTCCCAGGAGGCCACAGAGGAGAGAGGTAAGGAACAGGTTTCTCCCCACCCCTAGGAGAATGTGGAGGGGTGGCTTTGCCATGGTTTTCCATAAACTCCAGCAGTGAGGGCTGGAAGCAGAGGGCTCCTTGGCACATGGCCAGTGGCATCTCTGCTTTGGGCTTTCTGTTCTTTTTGTCCTGCCTGCCAAGAAATGTGGGGCGGGCGGGGTGGAGGAAGTCAGATGGAGATGAAGCTCAGGGAGCCAGCTGTTACCTCCCTGTCCCCTCCCTCCCCAACAGAAAGCTAGACAGAGCTTGCTGAAAGCAGGACTCAGCAGCTCACTGGGTTCTGCAGGACATGAGTCCAGATCCAGTCAGTGTTAGAAGGCTAGGGCTTTGGGGAAGGGTTGGAGAACAGGTTCACCGACCCAGTAGCAGTCTCTCCTTCTCCCAGGGTTGTTTCCTTATCCCTCGGCCTCAGCATTTCCTGAGGAACAGCCTGATGGAATGAGACTTCAAACTCTTAGACCCAGCTGAGTCCCACAAGGCCTAGACCTTAGTCAGAAAAGTCTTTTCAGGTCTCCAGCTAGAGATGATTGTCTGAAACATCTTACACAGGATTGGCTGTGATGCCAAACAGTCCTTGGGTCCTTTTGAAACCACTATGTCCCAGATGTTAGAGCCAGTTTCTCCCATCTAACCAACCATAGAAAAACCCTGGCAGGAGACTCATGTCATAATATGTAGATGGGGAAAATTGAAGGTCTGCCTCCCCAGAGAAGCTTCAATGTCTCCTAGGATTCCTCCATGCAGAGCAGCTACTGCCTAGCTGTGCAATCCCTGGCAAATCACTAGCCCTCTCTGAGACCTATTCCCCTCCCCCACCTTCCCTGTACAATAGCTTGCACTAGTTAATTTCTAGCATCCCTGTCCAGCTGGGGATGTTCTGCAGGTGTGTGCTTCCCTCCACACTGGGACTTCTGAGCTGTAGGAATCATTCCTAAGAACAAAAGAGAAGCTCCCATTTTGCCCCATTAGCTACCTGATTCAGATGTGTCTGTCAGCCTTGGAGGTTGAGAGGCAAATAGTAGGTAGTCAGAAGTATTTACAAACCCTGACAGACATAAATAGGACTGAAGTCACAGGCTCCCTGTTTTACAGGACAGGCCCTTCAACAACCGGGGGGCTCACTCCTGTCCTGAGGAGCTGAAGGGCAGGGGGAGGTCACAGAGAACGGGAACTGGCACCATCTTGCCTTGCCAGCTCAGTAGCCCCACTCTTCGGGTCAGGAGGCCCAGTAGCCAAGTGTCAGAGGCAGGTTGTCCAGGTCAGCGGGGCAGTACAGTGGCCCCAGTGTTGCAGCTGCCGAATCTGGGTACCGTTCGCTGCAAGACAAAGAATGAAGTGTCACCATCTGGGAGTCATCAGTGACACCCTGAGCCACAACACTTTCGGCTTCAGCGGGGTCCCTGGGCCTGTCAATGCTCTTAGGGATGAGTAAGAGGGGAGACAATGATGTCACAGTTATGGTCAGTGCTAGGCAAAGTTTCCTCAAGTCTCTCTCCTCTTTCTGTTCTGGCCCACGGGAAGGGTGGTAAAGCATCCTGTCTGCAGCTATAAAAAAATGAAAATGTAGAAGCCTGTTTTTCATAAACTATAAAAACGCTAAGCGACTGAACCAGCCCGGCTGCTGGTAGGCAGGGGAGACCCTGATCTCCCCATCAGGGTCTGGGAGCAGGGAAGGATTTGTTTTGTTTTGTTTAGTTCGATTCTATCATTATATAGCGTTTCATTGTCATGTGGGGGCAATCCATCATCCCTAGGCCCTGCCCCCAGAACCCCATTTGTTACAACTGATGATTCAATCTGACAGCTGA